CCAAGAAAAGACGAAGCATAGAGAAAGAGAGTAAGAGGGAAGGAGAGAAGGTGGCAGGCTGGAGCATCCACAAAACACATCACCAGAGCGATGCATAAATATTTCACACACACTCAGAACAAACAGCTTGGCACACAGCCTGCACAGTCACACAGAGCAAGACAGAAAGAGAGCAAGACAGAAATAAGATGTTAAAGCACAGAATCATTCTGTTCACTTATGTGCCTCACATTTCAGCCTCTTCATCCACACTATGATCATATACAGTGACTAATGCATATATGGGCATACATGCAGTTCTGCATCACTCAAAATGGATATAAGATTCCTGTTGTGTGTAATATAATTTCATCAGGATGTGACTGTGGTGTTTAGTATCAGTGTTAATGGGATAATGGGGGTAAGAGTGAGTCCTGTTAAATCATATCTGGAAAGTCTGTTCTGGACCAGAAAATGCAATCCAGATTAACCTAGACCTAACAAAGGCTAACAAAGAACAGACCAGAGACTGTGCTGAAGCACACCATTATTTTTTTTATTCATTAATGCCTTCTGAGGCTACATTTAGGTACAATGGTGCTTTGAGCTAAATGTTTATGACAGCATGCTAACATGTGGCACTGCTAATGTGCTAATGTTCAGCAGTTATAATGTTTACCATCTCTGTTTAGTGCAGTAAACACCTCAGGGAGATGATAATTAATTAGTGTCCCAGGTATTTGGTCATAAACCAAAGTATTACACAAAATGAAAATTTGACCTAATGATGGTGCTACATGGTTCATCAGGAGATCACCAGTTCATCCTTGGGGGGTGGAGGTGGGGAGGAAATGAATGTCTGTCCACCTAGTAGTTTTACACATTCCACTCAAAACTACAATTATCAACCTCGTGGTGGCACTAGGGTAAAAGTCGAGATCGCCAAAGTCAGTAGTGTTCATCCTCTGGTCACCATGAATTTCTGTGCAAAGAATGAATGGCAAGCCATCAAAGACAAGTTGGACGATTTCATCTCTCATAATTCATATTTAGTAATATGAAGTAGTTGACAATAAGCCCATGAACACTTCTCATAAGTTATAAGCACTACATGTTTGGTAGTTTTAATTGATGAATGACTTAAAGCCATTTTTTTTGATTGACTAATTGATTAAATAATTTCAGCACATACTCCATATCTGACCACATCCAGGCACATAAAGGAGAACCATTTAGCTGAAGTGTGGTACTGATGATTGTCTCACCTCATATCCTTTCAGTGAAGGACCCACCAGCACCACTGGCCGCATAGAAGGGACCACATCATATGGAGGAACATGTTCAGTCTGCACAGGCCACAAGCACAGACATGGTGTGGAGTTACACAACATGTTGTAGCAGTGAGCTAACAGCAGGTAGCTAACACAGTCCTCTGAATTTGACTAACCACGTAAAAAGCCATAAAATGCACTAGAATGTATTAAGTGTGGCAGTAAACTTTAAAGTGTTGTTAAATAAATATATGTAAAATGTAAAGTGATGCACAGAGGAAGAGGCACAACCGAAAGCATACCTGTTTTTGCTTCTGTTTAGCTTTCAGAATAAACAAAACAAACATTAGGAAAGAAGGAGAAACACATTCCTACTGCAGTAAATATCTGAGTGTAAGAGTGTATTAACAAAGAGAGCATGCATGTCATATTGAGCTGAGGAAAAATACATTTACACTGTGGCCCGTCAACAAACTATACTTATACTATAAATGCCCATAAAGTGTTGCCTGTGACTGGTTAAATGTCAGGTCTCAGTTTCAGCTGTTAGAGGTGATTGATTTAGAGGTGGAATGGTTGAGTGGTGAAGGCATCACATTTCTGCACGTTTGTATTCTGCTTGTTCAGCAGCTGCTTGAAAAATTGCGCATACAGTCTCCATTAAAGCCAGATTTTGTTGCACTAAGGAGCATTGTGGTTCTTGACTTGCATGCTCTGTTCAGCTCTGTGGGTGTGTGTGTGTGGGGGCGGGGCCTCACAGCCTCACAGTCTGCATCAGCCCATGAGGTTATGCTGGGTGACGGTTATAGAAAGTACAGGGTATATTGCTTCTTAGGCTCTGGGACCCTGTAAGAGCATGCAGTCCCAGCAGAGGCAGAGCAGACAGACACAGCAGGATGTCTCCGGTCTCACTTACCTGCAGATGGCGAGGTGGACCTCCAGCCTCCCGATGAAGCATTCCCTCCTTTCCTGTGGAGCAACATAATGCAAAACTTCATTATGCACGAATCCCCTCAGGAGGCAATTTGGAGAGGAGGGTTTCCAAAACAGAACAAAATCTGAGCAAGAACTAGTTATGTCACCAAAAAAAGTTTTCAAAGAGTGTGCTACTGTAGACATGAGGCTGGTGGAATCAGGGCAACAGAGGGCGATAAGTAGAGGAGTGATAACAGAGACGCAGAGATCTCTCTGAGCTGTGTGACCTCTGACCTTGCTGCTGCTTTCTGCTCTTGTTTTATCCTCATGGCCTCCAGTTTTACTGGGCTTGGGATGAAAGTGATGTCTGCCCCTTCCTTCACCAGCCGACCAATCCACCAGTCATTGTTGTATTTCTGCACAACAATGAAGCACGCACCAGAAGCTATGCTGTAAAACATGCTGACATGGATCACATTTTATGATAATAATTAACAAGTGGCTGTGACTGATGTGAACATCTTTATGCTGAAAGACACTCACCTCTTTTATGTGCAGAAAGTCTTTGGTTTCAAAGTTAATAGCAGCACCTTGGACTGGACAATCTTCATCAAGAGCCCCACAGTAACTGACATTGGTTTTCACTGCAAATGCTACAGGTTTAGACTGTTGAAAGAAAAAGAAAACATGAAATAATATAGATCATAACATTTAACAAAAATGTGTAAATAAGAAATGTGAGAGCACTTTACACCCTCCTCCTCTGGAACTGAAGGTAAATATATGAAAAAGCTTTGACCATTGACCCAAGGCTTTCACCTTGGCTCTCTCCAGCTGTAACTGAGCCTGGCGCTCGGCTTCACGCCGAGACGCCTCCTGGTCCTCCTCTAGGGACAGGTCGGAATCAGAGGGTCGACTAGTGTAGGAATCGGCTGAACCCTGAAAGAGGACAGGAGAGGTGACAAACAACTGGTAGCACTGGTAGATATGAAATAAATCCACCACGGTACAGCAATTCTTTTCAGAAGCATTTTTGTTACATATCTTGAATTTCTCTTTTCATCCCAATGGCAATGAATACATTAAATGCACTGATAACATTAAAAAAAATTCTGTCATTTGTGGCAGCAGCAAGGCTGATAAAAGCCTGACTAATAATTTTACTCATCCCAAGCAAAACCATTGCATGGCCAACTGTCTGTCAACCTCAGCGTGTAAGTAAAAGTCTCTCACTGGGTGTTGCAGTCAGATGTGTTACCACTCTGTTTTACAGCTAAAGCTAGTGAGCTATGGAAGAGAAGGTACCTACAGCAGCTTTTGCTTGCAAACAAGCCCCTTTAAGACATGTGGCCTTATAGGTAATGTTGTTGTCACCAGAAGTTGCTACCTGCGTGAGCAGTATGAAGCAAGAAGACGGCTGCATGGAACAGACTCCTTTTACATGCAGCCAGACAGTAGTCAGCTCTAGTTGTATAGATAGGATTGTAATACAGTAAACTGGGCATCAAAGAAAACATGCAATGTTCGTGTTACCAAGATGACCTCCCTCTTCACCTCTCTCTGCCAGAAAAGCCTGGATTTCTAAGGCTATTTACCAGCTATGAGCCACAGCTAAAGTAGTTTAGCCATGAACCAGAGGTCCCCTACTACAGTTCGAAACCGCAAATCTAAAAAGAAGTTGGACGCTGCAAGAAGTAAAACCAGAATTAACATAGGTGTGGTTTTTGAACAATGGTGACAACTGAGCTTTGTTGGGGGGGGAGCACTTGTTATTTTCCTGAAAACTGTAAGTAGTAGTCAGGCAGTGCGCATCGTGTTTTGGAGGAGTGGCTTTGGAGAGAAGTCAGAACAAAAGGGTGGGATTTCTTCTTTCAAAATCAAGCTTCCTCTTGCTGGTTTTTCCAGGATCACCAGCCCTACCTTTAACACCTTGAAGCAGCTGTACAGAATTTCTCATGCTGTAGATGTTGACTTAAGGCAAATTGCTCTGATGCATTTCCAAACAGATCACCCACATCTCCCTATGTCTTTCATCCTGTTCAACCTGCTTGAAGCTGCTTGTATTTCCTGAAGCCACGTGATCTAGCCTGCAACAATGAGCGAGTTCATGCAACTCTCCAAAGCAGCCCTCTCAGGGGAACGTGTGCAACCACATCAACAACCAGCACAGCCTTGTTGTCCATTTATCCACTCAGGCAGGCACACCACAGGCTGGCAAAAGTCCAGAGACTTCAACCAGGGAAACAAAGACACAACTCTAACAAGACCATTGGTAATATAGGATAATGCTAAAAAATAAAAGGATAACACAGGACTTCAGATTTGGCTGTACAAACAAAGGATGTGGTGTAAGGAGTGTCATTAGCAAATCTATCTGAACACATAAGAATAAAAAGAGAGTAAATTTTAACACATTATTTCAAAATATCTCTCATATACATACCGTTGGGTATGATTTACAGTGAAACTACATAAAACATTTACTTTGTGGCAACAACCTGCTACTTAAGAACAACAATTCATTGCAGAAATAATCCAACTGCCCTTCATTCAGTAGACACATTGTTCTAAAATTGTAAACTGAAATGGCATTTCAATTTTGAAAGAACAGTTTTTGAAATAAGGAAAAATAAACGGAATTTTCAACATTCAGGTACAAATCACAATTCAGTTGTACATACAAATCGTAGTTGACAATATAACATATAATTTAAATTTATTTGGCCTGTACCATAATTCTTACACCTTAGAACGTGTTTAAAATTCAATAATAAAAACAAACAAACAAAACTGACTCTTGTCTATGAACCATTTTAATGGAAACTAATAAAAACCTCACTGGAGCCACAGACACTACAGAGAGATACACAACTTCAGTCCCTACTTTACACTTAAATACACATGTAAAGTGATAAAACGCAAAATGCATCCCTCAGCAGATCCTACTGTACATTTTTCCTCCTTTTCCTTCTCCAGGAGCTGCAGTCCAAGCTGGTTGCAGGGCTGCAAGACTCTACACATACCGGCAGGAGCACTTGCATCCGGCCAATTGTTTCTCCACAATCTCATTATTCTTTTAATATTTCTTTGCTCTAGCTGTCTCCTCTTCCCTCTTCTCATCTATCATCCCCACCCCCCTCTGCATTTCTCACTGCCACCCAAAATAGAGTTAGATGAATCCAGTGAAAAGTTTGTGGGTATCATTTAAATATCAAAGCCTGCCAGAGGTGGATCAGAATCTGATGAGTCTACCAGCAGAAAAAACAAAACCTAATTAAAGCACACAGAGTTCTTCAGATGGATGAAGAGGCCTGATATTCAGAAGTACAGACTGTGTCTCTTTAGGACAATATATCTATCTGCTGTCTTCAGCTATACTGTCACAGCCACATATTGTTTTGACTCGATGAGGGCGAACTATAGCAAAACTTATAATGGGCACAAAAATATCACCTGTATGAAAATACCACAAACACGTCTGGGAACTGGACAGTGACAAAGTGTGTTTGTCCTTTGCTGAAGTGTTACACTGCTCTGCTTAAAGCTACATGGACTCCCATAAGCTTCAAGGATGCAAAATTGGCAAAGTTTCTTTGCTGTTGGCTTGTTAGTAGTGCAAAACCTGCACGTTTCCATGACAGATGCAGGCAATCCGACACAAATGATAATTTGCAATATCTCAAAGTAGCCTCCACTCTTGTTGAGTGTTGATACTGTACTCTGGGGTTCGATGATTACAGAAGAGGCAGTCCATGTAATCACTTTATTTGTGCAAGTATTTTGTTGCACTGTGCTGCTCCCTTCTACTGACAACATATTCCAGATATTTAAATACTACATTTACTGTGGGAGCTTTTAATGCAGACAATTATAGAATGTCAGTGTTTTGTTAGACTGCAAAGAAACCTCTGTATTTTGCTGTGAGGTGACAGTGCTAACCACTGCATTATTGTGCTTCCCGCTACAGAATCTAAATGTATTCAAAACTTTAGAGAAAACACAGTAACTTAGTAAAAGTCAAGCCATATCTTCATACTCTGTAGTTCACAAACTCACCCTGCCTCATTGCAGAGCTTTAACTCTGCAAACCCTGCTGCTCACTGGAATCAATAGTGGAATCTAATATATTCACAATCAGTCAGGTCTCAGTGTTGGAATAGCAATAAATTGTCTGGCAAGCTCACAGCGCGTTGTGTTTTCTGGCTGTCTTGACTTTTAAAACTACAAACAAACACCCACTCACACTGCAGTTGTCTTTATAAAAGCAAGTTACTAAGAGACAAGGATGATAACAAGAAATTCCATACGCACTTTAAGTCCTTTTAGAGGCTGAAACTTGAGACAGTGATACTGCAGCAGCTGTAGATTTTCACCAGCAGAGGGAAGCATGCACATTATGAATAACGTGCTTTATTAAAGAACCAGCCATGAATGACACTCATGATACAGTGACAGCTAGTCACCAGTTAATACTTCACCTTCATTTCTGAGTTGTAATACAGATGAAAACGTGTGAATTTGTTGTCAGTGTAAGCAGATATACAAAATATTTATCAAAAATTTTCCAAAAATCTGTATTATATGCATTTATGAAATTTCAAACTGGAATCTAAAAGGCTGTTGTGCACTTAAGGTAAAATAGTTAGCACAATAAAGCAAACAAAACTACAAGTATGAGCTTTATTAAAGATATTTAAAGGTATGACTCCCTTAAAAGACAGGAGATAAGACTTTACCAACAAAACAGACAAAATTCATGACATTCAACAGATGGGCCTCCCTGTGAGATACATGTTTAAAGCAGAGATGCAAAGCAGCCTATGTAGAGTTGAAATAGATAAACTGCATGTGTACAGTGCCCTACAGTGTGTCCAAAGAAGATGAGGAAAAGGAGGGATGGAGGAGAGGAGGAGTGGGGAGATGCTGGCAAAGTGAATGAACCAGACTTCTGCAGAGACAAGAGTGAGAGGAGAAATTACAGAAAGAAGAAGATGTCTCAGAGCAGACAGATGAGCGACTGCTGGATGAAGAGGCTGCATGCAGAGTGGTTCAACAAAAAAGAAGAGCATCAACAGCATACCTTGTTACAGATGAGTCCTGTAGCACTTGAGTCAGAGGCAGACATGATTCTGCTGCCAGCGCTCTCTTCCCCCCATTGCCCAGAAAAGGCGGAGCCCTCCTCCCCTCAGCCACGTGGTTACAGGGGAGAGAGAGGGAGGCGCACTCAACCTAAGTGCTTCACAGCTGACGTTGCTGCACTGCCTCAACAGCCATTCCTTATACAAAAATGATGCCCTGACTGCAGCACTGGTGTGTACACACCCACATACTGGTACAGTCCAGTGGGTTTCTTCCGCTTCGAGCCAGCCTCATATAAGAAAAGGAGCTTTTCTCTGGTTTCATACATCCTCGTCCCCTCCCCCTCCCCCTCCCCCTGCCCAATGCCTCAAATCTCATGGATCACTCCAGCATCATAAGATTTTTCCACACATTCCTCTTATGCCAATTCCCACATTGAGAGATCCTTAAAAGTGAGGTAAAATCATCCATTTCCATAGGCATGTTAGTCTGGTGCTTACGCTCACACTAGGCACAGATAGAATGACTTTAAATAAGACAGAACAAAGACTAAGCAGTTATATAAGCTATGATGATATACAAATGAGTCTGATTGTAGTTCCCTTGTCAATCTCTTTGCTAAAGATGTGACCTTTTCAACAGCAAAATGTAAGAAGGTGTGCAGGTATTGGAGGACAGGTAGGCAGACAGGGTCAAGAACATAAATGAGAGATGAAGGGGAACAGAAGAAGGGAGGCCTTTGCCCACCTGCCCGTCTGCCAGCCCTGCACCATCCTCCTGACAGAAAGGTAGTGCATGAGCCTCCAGTACAGAAATGCAGCGATGAGTCAGCAAGTAGCCATCAGATGTCTTATGAAGCC